AGGGAGGAGGGAGGGGAAGCAAACAGGTAATGTTCATAGTTAATTTAAAACAATTACAGATGTTGACGGTTACAGGGGGGAGCGAAGGAGGAGCTGCAAACTTTCGCAAACTGTTCCCAGCTCCCTTCCACGTCCCCCCGGTGCCTCCCAGCTCAGCTGGGAAGTTGCTCTACTACTCCCCTCGGCGACAAGACATCGACTTTTCAGAAAGTCGCGGCCCTGTGCTCGGAGATCTGACAAGCTTTATGCTGCTGGCTTGTCTGATGAGGTAGCTTCAGCCGCAGCTGCAGCCTCGTCGGTGGGAGGAGGCTCGACGACGTTGTCTGCTAGCACGTCAGGAGCGACGCGAGGAGGAGAAGGAGCTTGGAGAGAAGGTGGATGAGAAAGGAAGATGGGAGACGAGGAGCAGAGGGAGGAGGGTGCGACCGATTCATGTGAAGGGGGGGGGGGGGGGGGGAAAAAGCCAGGGTGGGGGGGGGGGGAGGCGCTTATTTACCTAGTGCGTTTGACGGCTCCTGCTCTCCAGCCTTTTCCTCGCTCCCTGCGTTCTGCTCTGCCTTGGACTCTTCTGTAGCTGCCTCCTCTTCCTTCTTCTCCTCCTCGGATGCCTTCGCTGCTGATTCATCCCCTTCCTTCTCCTCCTTCTCTTTCTTGTCCTTCGCGCGTCCCCCTGCCTTTGCTTTCTTCGCTTTCGGCTTCTCGTCGCCATCCTCTTCCCCTTCCTCTCTCTTCGTCTTCTTCGCCGCCTCCTTGGCCTCCTTCTTAGCTGCTTCCCTGGCCTCCCTCGCCTCTTTTTCGCTGCCTCCTTCTCTTTCTGCCGTACTGTGTCAACAAGGATGCAACCTGCTGGCAAGCAGTGCGCCGACCTGTTTCTGCTCTTTCAACGCTTCCTTCTCCTTCTTCTTCTTTTCCTGTGCGCACTTCATCATGTTTCGTACTTCACGGCCTCCACATCCTCCTCAACGATTCCGATTCCTCTCCCTCACAGCAACTAACGCAGCCAGTAGTTGATCTCACCTCCTCCTCCTGCTGGGCCAACAGCTCCGGATCTACTGGCAGCTTCTCATACGCTTCCTGACCCAGTAGTCATCAACGGCATCACCGACCCAGGCACGTGCCCACCTTCACTTTCCCCTGCTCATTCACAATCTGAACGAATTTCCTCGTGGACTTGCCCAACGCAACGGACAAGTGCTTAACTTCAACCTGGCCGACGTCAGCTCAAACGAGCATCTAGATCGAACCTACATAGACGAAACTGTCGTTGGGCATGTTCTCATACCTCCACCGCGGACCACAAGGAAGGAATCCTGCAATCCCTCGTCTCAGCCTTGCTGTGTCCCAGTCTCACAAGAATCCTTACGTTGCTCCCCGCTCTTGAACCCCCCCTCGGGCTCAATCTCCTTAGCACAGTACCACTCCCTCAGTTTGAATCTTGTATCCTGTGGTCCATGATCAGCTCCCGCATACACGCCAGCCATGTCGCTACATTCTCCTGTGCTGTTGAGTTCTTGTCTGCCTCATACACGCGAAATCCTAGCAGATGCCTCCACTCGTTTGACACCTGCAACGTCTTCTCAGCCAGTGTCTTGGGGACATCACGGTTTAACCTTGATGAAAAACTTTCCAAACTGACCCTCCTCAGGTTTCCATTCGCTCACTGCCTTCGAGATCTGAGGGAATCAGTCAGGAAAGGAAATGCACAGGTGGCTGTGCGGCAAGATCATATCATGGTCAGGAGCGTTGAGAAGTCATTGGCAACACAGGACATACCTTAGAAGTTTCTGCCGAGCCTCGTTGCTTCTTTGATTTCGGTTCGGAACCTTCCTCCTGCTTCTTTTGGGTAGTATGTGAATTATCTGCATTAACGTCCCCATCAAAACATCGTCGGGGGAAACGTATTCCCCACCATCCACCGTCAAGTGCTCAACTTGCTTCCTTTCTCGCGCACTCTTTCGATTCCCTTCAGTCCAAATAGTCAGACTCAACTCTCTCCATTTGAGGTGATCGTGCACAACCTTCGGATTTCGGCTTCTCCTTCCCTTCGCTGGCCTTTTTCTCCGCACCTCCCTTCTTCTGTGTGTTCCCCTTCTTCTCTGCTCCTTTCTTCTCTGCTCCTTTCTTCTCTGCTCCTTTCTTCTCTGCTCCTTTCTTCTCAGGAGTTTCTTTCTTCTCAGGAGTTTCCTTCTTCTCTGCAATTTCCTTCTCCTCTGCAGTTTCCTTCTCTGCAGTTTCCTTCTCTGCAGTTTCCTTCTTTTCTGTGTTTCCTTTTTTCTTCGCATTCTCCCTTTCTTGTCTGTTGCCTTTCCAGCAGCACTGTTCTCCTCCTCAGCCTTCTCTTCAGAGGCTGGTTTGTCTGTCTCCTTCACTTCGGCTTCTGCCTTGGCTTCCTTGGCATTTTCAGCAGCTTCTTTCTTCCTGATGGTGAGATCAGCAGATGATGTATAACAGCGAGGGCAACGGAAGAAAGGAATGACTGATTAGCACCACACAATCAGAGATAACATGGAGTGGAGAGGAGTAGAAGATGGGAAAGTTTGGGATATATCGAGACTGTTCAATAAAGTGGTAATATCGGAGGGTCGATGTGGACGGTGATTGTTGTGGGTTTCGTGGTGATGGACTGAAGCATAAGATATATGATGGATCGAGATGAAGGACCACAAATTGCAGCCAAATACTAGGAGGGATCAGTAGACATTCTGAAGCAGTGTGTGACAGAGAGGAACAGATAGAACGAGATAGGTCGAGATGCAGCATGAAGATTGAATTGAGGGAAAGAAAGTGTCATGAGGATCAGCACCAGAATCGAACTGCTCAGAAGCAGGATCAGGGGCAGAATGAGATGGATGATCAGTAGCAGGAGAACGGGAAGCAGAATCGGAATCAAGCTTAAGATCAGGATTACGAGGCCGATGGGACGCATAGACAGGAGGAGCAGGAGGAGCAGGAGGAGCAGGAGGAGCATATCAAGGACCAGTTTGTGGTAGAGACATTAGGAGGGATATCAAACGAATGAAAAAGGGAGGAGAAAGAGGAGACGACGGAGATAGAGACGGAGACGGAGACGGAGAAGGAAACTAAGACAAAGGTGCGGATACGGATGGTAGTGCTGGTGGTGACGGGATAGTGCTGATGATGCTGCTGGTGGTGGTGGTGGTGGTGGTGGTGGTGGTGGTGATGATGATGATGAGGAGGAGGAGGAGGAGGATGACGATGACGACGACGATGATGATGATGATGATGATGACGACGACGACGATGATGATGATGATGATGATGGAGATGATGGAGATGATGCTGATGCTGATGCTGATGCTGATGCTGATGCTGATGCTGATGCTGATGATGCTCGTGATGAGAAAGAAACAAGATTCTCACCGTTCCGTCATTACGATCGAAAGCTTAGAGAAAAGCGAAGAGAGGATCGTTTTACTGGGTGGGGTAGGGAGTGTAGGGGTGTTCCTACAAGAATGGTTGGATCAGAGTATCCATGGGGGTGGGGTAGACCGAGACCTGGGAATAGGACCGGTAAAAAGCGAAAATTATACCGTAGGACCACTAAATTTACTATGGAACAGACCGGTGATCATGGCATTCCACGAGGCCTTCAGAAATTCTGGAAGAAAGAGGGGTGGAATTCTCAGTTGGGGGTCCTCATCGGGCAGGTGGGAACATGAAAGCAGGACAGGGGGGTAGGGGGTTGATGTGCTCGTAATTTTCGTAACCGTCCGTCGATTGTATTCCGTTACATACGTTTCTAGCTTCCGTTACGTTTTTCGTTTCCGTTTCAAAACACCGTGGCACGCCGGTGGCACCGTGATCGGATGACGATCCGATGATCGGACTGAGTGATCCGAGTGGTCCATCAGAGGCAAGCCGCTCCTCGTACCGTCGCGTTATACCGAGGGACGCGTGAACTTGCCTTGAACGCTCCTGACATTCAGGGCCTCATGAAACCGTGAACATAGCCTAGTAGCCGCCGCCGTCGTTTGGCGCAAGTTTAACGGCCGCCGCTCAGGAGACCGATCGTAGCCTCCGAGTGAATGTGAGGGTTGATGCAACTCCGGGTATGACAGGTAGCCATGCTTTGCTTCAAACGTGACCAACATCGGAGGTCGCCTACTTTGCCAGCACCATTCAGATTCTGACTTGTTTGCCGAGACATCACCATGAAATGTGCTAGTAAGTTACTGGCATTTTACTGGCAGATTTCAGAGTAAGTTACTGGCACAATCAGAGCAAGTTGCTGGCATTTTATTAGCAGATTTCAGATTCCCCTGTGTCCCTATTATTTCAAGTTCCCAGCTCGACTCGTGACTCACTCGCCACGGCTGTGGCTGCAAGGAGAGGTCAACGCCTTTCGTGTAGATAAAGGTCGACATTTCAATCGGCATCTTGTTGCAGTCTAGAGATGTCTGGCACTCTCAATTTGAACGAGGTCATGTACTCCGATCCCGACAAGGCAGAGCAACCCATTCCAGTGGCTCTGCGCCTGTGGAAACCACCAGTTTCCACTCAGTGTTATCGGAGTGGACTCGTCATTCCATCATGGAAGGAAAGATGTAATGTTTTACAGTGTACAATCCCCAAGCCTCTGGCGGCCGGTATTCAGCCTGCCATCATCGAGATGGGGACAGTTATGAGAGACAGCCACCAGAGCCTCCGCAGGTCTCTACAACGTGAGGAGGTAATGTGGACCCCGGCCGCAGGAAGTGGTTGCGAAACCACCTGGCCAACGCAGCTTCTGATGCCCTCCATCATCAACTTCACCAGTGGCAAGTGTACGAGCATTTCTTGTGCTTGGTGCTCTGCCCCTATGAACTGCCTCAAGTGCCCGAGGAAGGATGATGGCACGCCTTGCACTGAGACGTGTGCAAGCTCGCTTCTTATTTCTGCCGTGGACTACTTCAAGATGCAAGAGAGGATGAAGTTGATGGAGCAGGATACTGATGCATCCAACAAGCTCACTAGCATCGCATGTGTCTACATGTGCTGCAAGTGTGTTCGTGAGACGAGGTTTTGTCAGATCTTCAGGTATCTTGGTGGATTTGCACGTAAGTACAAGATGAAGGACAACATCATGGTTGGAAGCCATCACTTGGTCTACAACCCCATTTCTCGTGGCTGTGTTGCATGTACGCTCAGTGACGACAAGATTGTCAACAACCCGAAAGATGTGATCATCTGGCCCGGTATGACATGCATCGGCTATTCCGAAATGGACAGCAACATCCCTGGGCTCATTGGCCAGCACTACAAGCACTACAACAGTGCACTCAAGCTGTTGGTCAATGGTGGGACCTTTGCTGACGTCATGCGGTACGTGTCGAATCAAGCCAAGGTTCCGCGCACCCGTCGCGCACACTCTGACGCTCTCAGGTGGCTGATACTGGATCAATCCCACATGTTTACGGATGATGAGCTGTTGAACCCTCCCTCGGATGACACCAGAGTGTCTTTCAAGAGCAAGCGCAAGAGGAATGATGGTCGTCGATGTTGAAGATGACTTTTCTGCTCTCGGAGGCTTGCATGTCGCACCCGACGATGCCGCACAGCTCGATGCTTAGGCTGTTTCAGGGTGAAGACGTCCTGACCCCCAAAACCACCCCACCCCCCATCACCTCTCCTCCTTACCACTGGGGTCCTCAAGCTTGGGCGTTCTAAGTAAACTTGCTCGCAAAGACAAATCTAGAATCCTTCCCCTCCGTCGTCCTGACCCCCAAAACCACCCCACCCCCCATCACCTCTCCTCCTTACCACTGGGGCTGGCAAGAATGTTGTCAGTGAAGGGGTTGACCCCTACCCCCTTGGTGACCCCTACCCCCTTTTCTGTCCGGATACGTGACCGAGACATCACCATGAAATGTGCTAGTAAGTTGCTGGCATTTTACTGGCAGATTTCAGAGTAAGTTACTGGCATTTTACTGGCAGATTTCAGAGTAAGTTACTGGCATTTTACTGGCAGATTTCAGAGTAAGTTCCTGGCATTTTATTAGCAGATTTCAGAGTAAGTTACTGGCATTTTACTAGCAGAATTCAGAGTAAGTTCCTGGCATTTTATCAGCAGATGTCAGATTCCCCTGTGTCCCTATTATTTCAAGTTCCCAGCTCGACTCGTGACTCACTCGCCACCGGGCTGTGGCTGCAAGGAGAGGTCAACGCCTTTCGTGTAGATATAAGGGTCGACATTTCAATCGGCATCTTGTTGCAGTCTAGAGATGTCTGGCACTCTCAATTTGAACGAGGTCATGTACTCCGATCCCGACAAGGCAGAGCAACCCATTCCAGTGGCTCTGCGCCTGTGGAAACCACCAGTTTCCACTCAGTGTTATCGGAGTGGACTGGTCATTCCATCATGGAAGGAAAGATGTAATGTTTTACAGTGTACAATCCCCAAGCCTCTGGCGGCCGGTATTCAGCCTGCCATCATCGAGATGGGGACAGTTATGAGAGACAGCCACCAGAGCCTCCGCAGGTCTCTACAACGTGAGGAGGTAATGTGGACCCCGGCCGCAGGAAGTGGTTGCGAAACCACCTGGCCAACGCAGCTTCTGATGCCCTCCATCAAGTGTACGAGCATTTCTTGTGCTTGGTGCTCTGCCCCTATGAACTGCCTCAAGTGCCCGAGGAAGGATGATGGCACGCCTTGCACTGAGACGTGTGCAAGCTCGCTTCTTATTTCTGCCGTGGACTACTTCAAGATGCAAGAGAGGATGAAGTTGATGGAGCAGGATACTGATGCATCCAACAAGCTCACTAGCATCGCATGTGTCTACATGTGCTGCAAGTGTGTTCGTGAGACGAGGTTCTGTCAGATCTTCAGGTATCTTGGTGGATTTGCACGTAAGTACAAGATGAAGGACAACATCATGGTTGGAAGCCATCACTTGGTCTACAACCCCATTTCTCGTGGCTGTGTTGCATGTACGCTCAGTGACGACAAGATTGTCAACAACCCGAAAGATGTGATCATCTGGCCCGGTATGACATGCATCGGCTATTCCGAAATGGACAGCAACATCCCTGGGCTCATTGGCCAGCACTACAAGCACTACAACAGTGCACTCAAGCTGTTGGTCAATGGTGGGACCTTTGCTGACGTCATGCGGTACGTGTCGAATCAAGCCAAGGTTCCGCGCACCCGTCGCGCAAACTCTGACGCTCTCAGGTGGCTGATACTGGATCAATCCCACATGTTTACGGATGATGAGCTGTTGAACCCTCCCTCGGATGACACCAGAGTGTCTTTCAAGAGCAAGCGCAAGAGGAATGATGGTGGTCGATGTTGAAGATGACTTTTCTGCTCTCGGAGGCTTGCATGTCGCACCCGACGATGCCGCACAGCTCGATGCTTAGGCTGTTTCAGGGAGGACCGCGGGCTTTGGAGTCTCTCATCGAAGCTGCAAGCAAGGACCCCATAGATCTGAAACGACCCCAGTGTCTTTTCCTGTTCGAGGACGAGAAGGGTGTGCAGCTCCGTAAGTGTATGTTATGTGTGTTGAGGATTTGAACAACATTCGCTCGTCTGTGGTCGTTTATGTCTGATGAACAGAGATCTTTCTACAGAGGGTGATGTTGCCAACCATTGAGGAGTGCAAGAGCATTTGCGATAAGTACTATGAGTTTGATCCCTCTATCATCAACTTCACCAGTGGCAGGTGTAAGAGCATTGCTTGTCTCCCCTTTGACCTGATAGCATCACTGAGTGATGGAAGCATATGAAATGTAGGATAAAAGATTTCGAGCCAATCTGCAGGTTCATTTGACTAAGACTTCTTCTGCCCAAAGATGTTGGTTCATGTGGCATCACGAGCAGCTCTCCGCTCGATGCTCTACAAGGGCGAAGCAAGAGATTGAGGAGGAGAGTCCATGTGAGCCTCTTGCTCTGGTGTGCTTCCCCAGAGGTGACGTGACATGCGCCAGACACAAGAGGCTACACCTGGTGAGATGGAGCTTGCGAGAATAATCATGCAAGAGCTGGCGCTCCTGCTGCTTGACAGGGGCATCAAGCCACCATCTATCTGCTTGCCTGTACGCACAGTGGAGGCTGATGGATCCTCACCCCCATCAGCTCGCTCTTCGACATCATTAAAATGGCCACGTCCACGGCTTCGTCCAAGAGGATCAGCAGCGTGCTCCTGGTCTAGAACATGACTGACATTATTTCTTGTCAAGAGGAGGTCTTACTGCAATGGCATTGTGGCATAGGAAGGAGGCTGCAGCGAGCGCGAGACATGGCATTGCATAGATACACATCTAGCGTTGTTTTATGCGAATACAACTTTGTATGATGACGGCTCGACTTACAGCAGATCATAGGTTGAGCAGAATCCCTGATTCAATGTCAAGCATTACCATCTTGACAGACCTGAAAACAGACAAGCGTCGCCATACGTACCACATCATGGACTCGATGTGAATTGATGTTGTACATCTTGTACCGTACCCGTCAGACTTTATCATCCGATCAAGACACAAGCTACCTTGTCTAGCAGGCGCTGTTTCTGACTGCCTGGGCCTTTTGACCATAATTGCTCATAGTCCTGTTTCGGCGCTCTCAGAGTGGTCAGAGCTGAAGCATCTCACGCACCTCATAAGCGAACTCGGCGATCTGCGAAGCAGCATGGAGGTGCAAGAATGCTTCGCTGACCGCATCTATCGTCGAGCTGCAGACCGCGCAGTAGGCAGCGCTGCAGGCACTGTTGTCAACAGGCGAAAAAGACTATCAGCAGCCTGCTGACCTTAGCGCGCTCAGGGATGTTCCGGTACCCGCAATCAAACGTATGTACCCCTTTTTCCCGCCACTTTGTATGATCGCTTTGGTAGCCCCATCTGTGACAATGTTGTCTTGAGTGTTCGATATCGCCGTCACACACTTGAAGTGCTTCGCCAATGCAAGAGCCGCAGGGAACGCTCGCTGTGTCTCGAGTTTGACCTCCCAGTCTTCAGTGTCATCTCCTCCAGCTGCCTCCACCACCACCTTGCAGACGTCTGCCTGCAGGCACATGGTGAGGTAAGGGCCAGAGGAGCGAGCAGCAGGGGTCACCAGAGCCATGATCTCCAGAGGGCTTCCCCTGACGGCGGTAGGATGGTACTGCATCAGCCTTGCACACAGCTCGCTGCGATAGGCCGACTCCCCACAGCCTTCTGAGTCGAGGACCCACGGCTTTCCACTGCCATGGGCTGTGGACGCTGCGAGCTCCATGGCCTTGATCCAAGTCGGCGAAGACGCAGCTCCTGCACTGATGGAGAGAGCGGCAGAGAGCTTCATCAGGTCTTCTACCTCCTCTGCTGCATGGAGCATCACAGGAGATGCCCCAGCCGCTAATGAAGGTAGGTCAGGTGTCGAAATGTGACAGACAGGATACATCACCAAGCAAGACGTTGGCAGATAAGTCCATGGCGACACAACTCTGGATGAACATGACACGAGGAGTTATCTCTCGAAGGGAATCCAACAGCCTTCCAGGTTCGCCCGATTGGTCACTGACAGGTGCTGTACTCGCTCTGAGAGACAGAGCTTTTCTCTGCGGTGTACATCTTGGGAGGTGAAAAGCAGAATACAGAAGGGCGACGCGGGCAACCTGAATCATCGCGCAGCGCTCCGTCGCGGCGAAAAGCATTCGCATCTGTCGTTTTAGATCAAGTTGATAAAGCTACAATATTTATCTATGGAGTGCTGGTAAGCTACAATATTTATCTATAGAGTGCTGGTAAGCTACAATATTTATCTATAGAGTGCTGGTCAGCTACTGTTCACAGCCAGTCGAGGCACACTATATATTTTATTGTCAGGTCAGATCGACTTACCAGCTCTAGCGGTCCTATGCCCTATCTCTAGCGGTCCTATATCTCTATGCCCTATCTTCTCTAGCGGTCCTATAACTCTATGCCCTATCTTCTTTGGCGGTCCTATATCTCTAGCCCCCCTATGCCCTATCTTCTCTAGCGGTCCTATAACTCTATGCCCTATCTTCTTTGGCGGACCTATATCTCTAGCCCCCCTATGCCCTATCTTCTCTAGCGGTCCTATATCTCTAGCGCCCCTATGCCCTATCTTCTTCCTATATCTCTAGCGGTCCTATATCTCTAGCGGCCCTATGCCCTATCTTCTCTAGCGGCCCTATATCTCCAGCGGTCCTATATCTCTAGCGGTCCTATATCTCTAGAGGTCCTATGTCCTATCTTCTCTAGCGGCCCTATGCCCTATCTCTGCGGCCCTATTGTCTTTAACGGTCCTATATCTCTAGCGGTCCTATATCTCTAGCGGTCCTATATCTCTAGCGGTCCTATGCCCTATCTTCTCTAGCGGTCCTATGCCCTATCTCTGCGGGCCTATTGTCTTTGACGGTCCTATATCTCTAGCGGTCCTATATCTCTAGCGGTCCTATGCCCTATCTTCTCTAGCGGTCCTATGCCCTATCTCTGGGGCCTATTGTCTTTAACGGTCCTGTAACTCTGCGGCCCTATCAGTCTTTAACGGTCCTATAACTCTGACGGTTCTATCTCTCTGCTAGTCAAATTCTGATAGCTCTTCTACCCCCGCCATCTTATCGAATGCCCGCCAAAAACGAGGTTGTGGGTATCATCCTAACGATGTGGATTTGAACAACATTCGCTCGTCTGTTGTTGTGATTGAGAAACTGTGGTCGTTTATGTCTGATGAACAGAGATCTTTCTACAGAGATCTCAACACTTTGATGTTGCATTGAGGAGTGCAAGAGCATTTGCGATGAATACTATGAGTTTGATCTTTCAACGTTATCTTGAGGTTTGAAAGGCGGATGTGTGTTTTGTGTTGTACTCATTGGAGTTTATTGTTGTGTGGACATGATACGGTCCGGGTCCGAGGCTGTCCGAGCACAGTCACGGTAGCTGACTAGTGGGGCTCAGCGGCTCGAAAGGACTCCGTGATGAAGATAGCGCATCGAAGACAGCAACAACAAGACTTACCTGGACTATACCAAGCTCTCGGCACTTCCAGGACAGCGCTATCAACAATACATCAAATCTAGGAAGGCATACCTTGCACAAGAGTACCGTGACATACCACAACATGACCTGTTGGGGCGACTCCTGGTTTAGATTCCCCTTAGAGGTGGAAGTACACGAAGCCTTGAGAAACCCGAGTCAAGTATGATCGACGGCTAAGTAGTTGACTTGAGGATCGATCGACTCAGTTCTCGTTGCGCGCGAGGTGACGTCTGGTCGTGACAGAAGGTAGCTTGTTGACACAAGTGTGGACCAAGAGAGAAGGTAAAAGGAAAGTAAGGCGGAAGAGTTGGCTGAAGGAGGAGGAAGAGCAGGAGCAAGGACAAGGAGGAACGTGGCAAGGGATTGGTGGCTGAGAAATCTTTTTATGACGTTGTAAGCGATAGATGTAAGAAGGCTGGTCTAAAAGTTCTTGCTCGATGTTCTTGCAACTCTTCAGAATCTTGAAACGGGTCTTGACTATTGTCGAGGTTGTGGAGATGTTTTGCATCGCTGGTTTGTATCCGTCCTTTCGAAAAGAGATAAGTGCAGGTATCCTTTGCCTTGAATGTCGGGTCGCGCTTGATAAGCTGTAAGATGTTCTGATCACACTCGTTAGGAGGTGCAGAAGACTGATGTTTGCGAGAATGTTCCTTCTGAGTTCGCAGCGTTTCGTGTTGCACGCGCTGCGTTTGACCGCTGCACGCGCGTCCTGTTCCGTAGGAGCAATGGCGGTTTGTACTCAAGGTTACCTTCAGCAGTGTTGTGTCAACTTCAACATCTTGAACGTACTGCTTTATTGGATATTTTCATCTTGTCCATCGGGGCCGAAACCTGTCAAGGAAATCATTTCGATCATCGACTTCTTTCGAAATTCGTGTTTACCTTGTGCTGACCTTCCAGCCTGGTTCAATTCCTTTACATTTGCTCAATTTGGTCAATTCATTGATTACATTCACATTTGTCTGGATTGTCATTTATTGTGGATATTGAAAAACACTTCCTGGTTCTTTAGACAACTGTTTCTATCGTCTACCTGGAGCATCACTTCTCAATCGTGTACATTTCAACCGAACAACGCAGGCTTCGTTATTTGCACTATCAGCGTTCAAGTTGAAGCATACTATCATAAGGATCTTCTTTCTGGTTGAGATCTTGACGTAATTCGATAATTTCCTCAGATATATTCTGTTTGCATTTCTCGTTCCACATGCGCGCGCGGTTCTTCCCTCGTGCACGGCTTGTTTCACCTGAGCGCCTCCGACATTTTCGCACGCCGCACTTACCTTATCGTTATTTCGGACAAATCAACGTAACCGTCAGTCAAGGCAATCGAGGCTCATAACCGACGGAACACGGCTCAGTGACTCCGGGTTGAGCCGGGTCCAGCCCGGGGCCCGCAAAACCAACTGTTGCATTTTTGGGGTTTCTATAAATATATAACTGAAACTTCTTTGCGACTGCTGGTACAATTGAAAAATAGTTTTAAGATTTTTTCTTTCGCTTGTGTGATACCCCACGTCTCCCGGAGAGCAACATGGGATGCTACAAGGGACGCTTTTTAAAAACTATATTGTAAAGGTTTTAAGATAAAAACCAAATTGTAGGCATGGTGTTGCCTGTGATGCTCGAGTTCAAAATTCTCGAAATATACCGGTGAGTTTATCACAATTAGCAGGGGTACTCTGTACATCCCGCCATCCCGCAGTTTTAAAACGCAAGATCCCGATGCGCCGTTATTCGTACAAGAAAATTTTAAGTTTAAAACACCTCCCTCTCCCCCTCCTAGGGAGAGTCTTTTGCACTCACCCAACGGATCGACTCTAAAAACCCTATCAAGTCTTCCATTGTACCGGTCCTATATGGACCCTACCTAGGGTTGGGGATCGCGGTTGGGTCATTACCAACCTGAGTCTGGTACCAATCAAGATCAAATATTTGTACATTCCAATTATAAAATCATCTACTCTTGGTACAATCTGTTTCTATCTTTTGTATTTTAGTATGTACTCATGTTTTAAATTTGTACCGGGATGTTGCAAGTTGCGCCTTCTCATTTCTGGTACAATTTCGCTTTCGAGATTCTACCACCCCACATAGAAAATAGGGGTCCTTTTGTGGGTGGGTTGAAAGTTAGAGGGGGTAGTATATGTATCAATGTGGGGTGGATACAAAAGCATAAATCACCAAGGAGGGGTCATGATCCCAGGTCCTGTATGTGCATATACAATGATAGGGGTACTGTTATGGAATTTGAGGGGTGGGGGTTTGAAAGGGGAATATGGATGGGTAAGGTAGTGGGTTGCAGGGAGTCTGAGGCAGATGGGTACTCATGATCTGCATTATCCTCGATGGGGGTGGTGGTCGAGTCTTTCCAGAGGAAAATGATCGTAGGGTATTGGAGATAGGGGTGGTGGTGAACAGAAGGGGAGGTGGGGGTAGGGTACCCTTTCACAAACTCGAAGGGATATGAGGGGGTGTTTTACGCCAGTACCCTGTTCGGGACATCTAATCCATGGGTGGGCAGGCACTTACGGCTGAAAGAATGTTCACGCAGGTTGCCTACAGGGGTGGGGTACTTCTGCACACTTCTATGGGGGGTAGTTTCTTTTTTCCACAGGGGGTCACAATCAATCCATATTCTCGAGGTAGGGGGTACTGGGTCTGTAGGCGATTTCCTTTCAGCCAATAATGAATTGCCTTGTACCGGTCATTTTCATAGCTTCAGATGGGGTAATCCACACTTTGACCCTATGGTCGCATCTGTTCTATCGGGGGGTAGTACACGTCTTTTTCTTGGGTGGGTCATCTCGTGGTGGATTGTGCCAACCAGGAGAACGAAGCAATTGACCATAATACGGTAGGGTAGGGTCAAATTTTTAGGGTAGTGAATTCTCTAGGTCCCAATTCGAGGGGTAGGGGTAAGGTGCCTTCTTTACTAAAGCGAGGGTAGGGTGCTCACCTTGAGGGAGGTTCTCAAAATGGGTGGTAGAGTTTCAAAGGCAAAAGTGTGGGTAGGGTCATGTAGATCGTGGGGTGAGGGGTACCTGAAGAATCCACCTCTCCCAGATATGCTACGAAAACTTTAGTAGCACAGGGGGTGGTCAGAACAGATCGTGTTCCGGGATAGGTAGGGTACATTAAAAGAAGGGTGGTGTTTGGGGTGGATCCCATAGGGACGCAAAGGGGCCCCAATGTACCTGATAGGACCAGGAGACCGTCTCTGACCTACCCACCCACCACAAGAACGACCTACCTCCTTGAAAACGTCTGCTGACCACCTCACCTCCCCACCTCTGACTACCCACCCTTCTTTGTCCGAAGACCCCACCACGAGCTTCGGTGATCTGCTTTCGACCACCATTTATCGGAAACTCTGAAGGTTCAATACTATTTTTAGTATGACGACATACTACAAAGAAGTCTCGATGATGATAATATCAGCAAAGGCTATACATGTCGACCCCTAGATCACAGAAAATAACTTCATCACCCCCACCCCCTGATTGGTATCCGACTGCCACCCCTTCGGGAGTCAACCCTTTCCTAGAGGTCAATTTGCTACACCACCCCCGAATTCGATAATCAAAAGTTTCCACAACCCCCCCAACACCATCGGAATCGACCCCCACCCTGTAAAAGATCCATGCCACCCACCACACCTACACCTCGTCCTATCATTAATCACCCCCTATTTGTACCCGATCGTACCCGGTTCTTTTACCATTACGAGTTCGCCCCCCTTTGGACCACCACCCCACTTTCCTACTTGATCTACCCCACCTGGACGAACAAAACCCTTCCCCTGCTCCACCCTACCTCCCCCACAATGTCCCATCACAATTCATGCCGCATGAGTCGGATGTACTGGTACCACCCACCCTGTGAAAACAATACCCCCCATTTTAGAGAACATCGATGCATCACCCCCTTTATGACTGTCTTCAAGACCCACCCAATATATAATTTTACTACCCACAATCTCATCCACCCCATTACCTGAGACAGATCTTGTACCCTACCACCAAAAAATGCACCTTACACTAAATGACCCCACCTTTTCCCAATCCTCTACCCCCTTTCATCCTCTAAAATGATAGTGGCACCCCAAAAACCGACTACCCCACCATACTGCTAAGTCCCCCCAGGACCCTAACCCACCAAATCTCGCCCTCACCCCCCCCCGTCCCTCCCCGCGCCCATCTGGAAGCATGGCGAGCGAAGGAATTGGGAGGAGGAGGATGGGGAAGCAAACAAGGAGCAGGTGAGATCAGGAGGTTGTACCCTCGTCTTCGATTTGTTCCTCTCGCCTCCATGACTTGCTGTTTCCTTTCTTACGCCATCATCATCTCTTCTTGAGCTTTCCAAAGAAAATTTCATTCGTGGGTTAGATTCGTTTCCTGGCACGGCCAGTGAAAACTGGCACGGAATATCTTGTCGGAATTGTTCTTAGTGGTGAACAGCAGCGAAATCCTCATGCTTAGTTTCCATCTTTCCTGTATGCTCTTCATGCTCTTCTCCCTGCTCGATTCCTGCATCTTGCGAAAGTTGGATGCCCTCGAAGTCCGATTTCAACGCATAAATTCGATTTCATGTTATCCTTCTGCTGTACCCTTGCATCCTCCTCGCAGCATGATGAACCACCAAATCTTATGCCCTCCTTATTCCTTGACCTCCTTCCTCTGTTTTCGAATTTATCCCCTCTCCGTATCCCTCCCCCCCTCAACAAACTTCCCTTCTTTTTCCATCCATCCTATGTCAAGCTAACTCGAATATCCTAGTTCTGTCTGAGAAGATCGCAAGCGAGATGGGGGGCAAGAGAGCGTCGGCAGAAGTGCTGGCCGACGTTCATTTCGAGGCGAAGAAATATCAGAGGAGCGATACGGAGTTGAGCAACTTCAGCACGGCACCGAGCAGCCCTAGGGCAGAGGTCACCCACACTTTCCTGAATGCTGTGGAGAATCTCCTTCAAGCTGCACAGCTGGAGGGAGCGAAGCAGGCTCTAGGAGATCCATGTAGCCGAGGGAGCGAGAGGGATGAGCACAAGCCCACAGCGTCGGGAGGGATCAGCGTCGCAGAGCTTACCGACTCTCCGTCCTCCTCCTCCTCGTCCATCTTATCATGGAGCAGATGGAGCATGGACACCAAGGTACTGTAGCTCTCTTGCCTGTATCCCATCGGTGGATTTGACTCTCTCTTCCTCCTCTTCCCCCCCTCTTCCCTTCGTTCTCGTTACAATCTGCCCTCCCGTTCGCCTCCTCTGCCTCCTTTCGTCGGCACAGGAGAATCTTGTCGAGAGAGAGTCCCCGATTGCAGAGAACATGAAGGCCTTTACAGGTACAGCTTACCCATTCCTCTTCCTTCTACCCTCTCGCCACAACCCTTTCCATTCTGAAAGTCCTGACGCTGTCTGGTAGTTGAAAGTTTGATCAAAAGGGAGGAGCAGTCCGAACCATGGCAGATGCTGAAGGCCTCAGCTCAGGAGAACGCGCACTCGATGTAAGATCTCCCACCTCTCCTCTTCCCCCTCCTCCCTTCTCTTCCTCATTCCTCTCATACCCAAACTCTACTTCCTTCATTTCTCTTCGTTATGCTTTCTCGTCACTGATTCATATGAAGGCCTTCCTTGGTCCTGCATGGGCTGAAGCAGGGGATTTCCGGCAACATTGCCATTAAGAGTGAGGCGGGAGGAAACGTGTCGCTGCTGCCCAGCTGTGGAGCTGTGAAGCAAGGGATGGTCGGATCCTCGCTCGGTC